ACCAACATTTATCTGCTCTTGATATTTGCTTCTTCCGGAGGATCCCGCCCTGTCTACTCGAGAACAGTACTTTATAAAGCAATTAGTAGTTGATAGTTGTAGGCATAAAGTCAGAGGTCATTTCCAGAATGCAGAGTGCTGTTGCAATCTGCATTGAATTGATTTGTGCAATTGGCAATCTAGAGGGATCTACATGGCCGCTGACGGTGTGGTACTGATGGCACCACTGATGGCCAGACAAGCCTGTCTCTGTGCGCCAGAGAGCTTCGCCTGGGCCGTTTTCTGTAAAGCCTTCGGCCGACAGGCAATTGCACCATAAGTGATAATTGGTCTGATAATCATCACATAAATCCAATAGATTTTTTTTGAACCTAAACCCCAAGTTTTACCACAAATCCTTCGACATGTCCATAGAGACAGTCTAACTTTGTGTAAAACTCTTTCCAAGTAAGCGTTCCAGGTGAGTTTTTTATCAAGGACTTGTACGTGCTACTTTTCTATGCAAGTAACTGTATTATTTCATTTCCAAAATAGAGCAGTTCTTCATGAAATGTTAGTATCTGCTAATTATTAGAGAATCGGTTGATGTTTTGGTCATCAACTACCTATTTCCTTTCATTTTCTGCTCTTCGAAGTTAGATAAGGTGAGATAATCTTTATCTTCAGTTGTATCCCATATTGGAATATTCCCAGGGCATCATGGCCTATCAAAATCAAGTAAATTGCTTTGTATGCGATAACCGATCGAATGCAAATCAAATGTCACATATTCTTCATGAATAATAACATTTGGAAAAGTGTCAAATAGCCATTTCTAGACGGAATGCACAAGGTGGCCCCCCCCTCTCATCATAGGAGAAGAAACAAGAAAATATTTAAACTGCAATCGATCTATTATGAATGAAATAAAGGACTTGACAATTGATCCAACTTGTATGAGACTTAATGTTTTGACACAAACATTGCAATGCCGCCGCTGATCAGTAAACTGTATCCAATAAATGCAGGGCCAATGTTTTCGTCCATCGGAATATATTCATCCCGGATAACGTGAAGGCATGCAGAAATCATCTCAATGATAACGGTTTTATTTTTCCATTTCTATTAACAGGAATCCAGTTTATAAATATCCCTTTTCCTTCAAGGGCTTCGTTTTGTGACTATTGAATACTCCAGCTATCAAGATGAGCACAATTTCAGTGAGGATGTCTCCTATAACCAAAGAACAATTTTGTAGTTCTTTTATGTTCTGATATGGTTCCACAGAAAGATGGTTGTAGATATATAACGAAATAAGACCTTATGATATTCCTCTGTAAATTGCGACAGGGTCTATCGGATGATTTCTTGAAGGTAATATTCCATTATCCCTCTAGTCAAGCCAACAGCCTAGCAATTTCTAAAGTTTGAAGGTGGTTGACAATGTTTCGTGGTGTATTTCATCAGTTCGGACTTCCATTGTCTAATAAGGAAAAAGAGAGATCATCGCTAACACCGCACCACAGTAAGCCTCCTCACTTGTATGGACTACCCAAAATCCACAAAAAGGATGTTCCGCTCCGACCGATCATTAGCTCCAGAGATTCAGCCACTCAGAACTTGTCCAGATTTTTACTACCAATAATTAAACCACTGCAAGGAAAAACATCATCTTTTGTGAAAAAGTCAAGGCATTTCGTTGAACTACTAGGGGAAATCGAAGTCAAAGAGCAGGATCAACTGATCAGTTTCGACGTGAAAAGCTTCTACACCAACGTTCCTGTCGAAGAAGCACTTCAAATCATACAGAAGAAGCTATCCGAAGATGGGGACCTGACAGATAGAACAAACTTACCGATACAAGTAATCATGGAATTACTAGGATGCTGTGTACGAAACTGCTACTTTCAACTGAACGACGAATTCTTTACGCAAGATGAGGGACTGCCAATGGGATCACCACTTTCACCTGTTATAGCCAATATATATATATATATATATGGAGTG